TTTGGATTGAGATGGAATAAAATAATTTGTTGGGGGTCAATTTTTATAGCCAAAAGTGGAAAAACAGGGAAATAAGGGATGAGAGAGTTGGGTGAAATATTTGAGGGTTTATTTATGCCGCCTGAAAGAAAATTAGAAGAATGGTCTATCATGAAATAAAATGAAAAATTAGGGTTATGTATGATATTTTCCCTGGTTTATTACCCTTTTGCAATTGTTCTAACTAAAGCAATGTGCTTTTCAGGATACTTTTAAACCACAATGCATGGGTAAAATATTAAATTGGTATTTTGATAAATTCCTCTTAATTGTTTGCATTTCATTAGAACTTCATTATTTCATTAGGCTTGGGACTCCGGCTCTACTCGATCTGAGTGACTTGGGCAAGTTTGATTGTGTATCACCCTGAAAAAGGGCTAAAAATAAAATTTTAATTAAAAATAATAAGATAAAAAGCGTACAAAACTATAGAGAACATTAAAAGTCCAAAAAATATGGAAAAAAAATAGATCGGAAGAAATTTTGATTTATAGCTAGGAACAATGGTTTAAAATTTGTGATTTTGACATTCTCACTCAATTCGATAAGCGAACTAGGTGAGTTGATTAGCTAACAAGGCGATCTGGATCACCCAAATCCCTTAGTTCTCACTCATTTTATTATTATTATTATTACTATTATTTTTGGTTTTTTTTAATTTTTAAATTATTATTTAATTTTTGGGACTGATTCGTCGATCTAAGTTGTCACTTGATCTGGACTAGATTTATGAAAGGCCAATTTGCATCGCCAGTCCAGTTTTTGAAACATTAGCTAGTAACAATTCCAAAAAATTCCCCCCACAAAAAAGGAAAATAGAAAATGTAGCATATTATATTAAAAAATGACAAACCATCATAAAAAATATCAAAATTACATATATAATGTTATACATCATTCTTCAAAAAAATATTTTCATGATTTTCATATTCTTTGTAGAAAACCAAGTTTGTACCAACTACGCTAAGCAAGGTGCCTAGTCCAAGTCACCACGGCCAAGTTTTGAAGTTTTGCTTTCCTATGAAAGAAAAACACATGTATTTGGCAAAAATGCATACAATAACACCATTTAATTTTTGTATAAGGAAGTCAAATTGGTTATTGATCTTTAGATGTGAAATTGGGGGATTGAAGTTATTGGGCTAAGTGTCTGAAATAAAATTTCTCGAATATTATTATACATTTCAATATATCAGATTTTACATCCAATAAGTAAAAATAATTATGACTTTCTCGTACCAAAAATAAAACATCATGTAGTATACAATCTCGTATTTCGCTCCACTCACAAAAAAAAGCACCCCGCTTATGTCACTACATTTGCCATTTCCCCACCATTAACCCCTAGGGTTTTTAATTGCAGCCACAAGACCCAGAAGGTGTGCATGTACAACGAAGTTTTAATCGATGGAGAATCAAGGATAGAATGTTTCAATAACGCATGGGCAGGCTATATTCAAGTGTATGGATGATGATAGGTGATCGGCAACAAGGGAGGCTCATGGACAATCAGACAAATGCGCCTAAAATAGCATTACCACATACAATGTTGTTACTTATACAGTAGTTAGTCTAGATAAATGCACCTAGAATGGTAGTTCACATCACAATGCGCATGATATATGTGTTCCTTGGGTAGAAATGGTGAAGTCAAATCAATGTCAATGTTTTTGAAACTGCCAAGTCTGGTCCACTCAAAATTGGATTTACTTTGTTGGGCCAGTTGAATCGAAGTTTTAAAATATAAAGAAAATGAGAAGGGTGTGGTTTGCATAAAGATGCAACCTTAAACAATCGAATAAGGCCCACCTCCAAATTTTATTATAGGACGAAATTTTTGCATCAAAACATCTTATGATTGCCTGAAAATCTATTTTCAACTCTAATTGTAAAATTCTTAACTCCAAAAATAGTTCAAATCAAGTAGATCTATAAACATATGAAAATCTTGAAAATAAACGGTTTAGATAATGAGTTGCAAGTGTATTATTTATTGGACTCGAAATCTATTTCTTTTTCATATTCATAAATCTCGATGTTGAGATGATCAACTAGAAGGTTTTTCAACATTAAAACAATATTTTTTGATGGAATTTTGAGGTGTAACCCAGTGTTCACAAAATCGAATCGGAATGGTTAATCAAACATAGGCCTAGAAGCGGTTTAACCGGCCTAACTGGTAAACCGGCCGATTCAATCGTTCTAACCGAGCAAGTTCCGGGCGGTCAAAAAAGTATTGAAAAAAATAAAAATGATGCAAAAAAACATCTACTAAAATATGAAACACATATAACGAATGATTAAAGCAAAACACATTTTAATGAGGTTGAAAATTAATGGAAAAAATGGATTTTAACGAATCGATTTGTGCCTAGGGGAATTTTTAAAATTTTCTGAAAAAGATGAGAAAAATATAAAAGAGAGCATTAATGACAAAAATAATTTTTAATCTTTACCATAATATAAAGAATATTAAAAAAATGCATTACAAACCAAATTCCTCATTTTGGAGAATTTCTATATTTTCTTTTACTTGTTTTTTTTTTAAATACCGGTCGATAGCCAAAACAGCCCAAAACCAATGGCCAGTTCCGATCTAACCGGGCGGTTAGCGTTTAGATTGCCCGGTTTTTCCAACAGTGGTGTAACCTTAATTCTACATTTTAAGGTTGCAAACTTATATAAAGTTTTTTCAAATAGGAATAATAGTTCAAAATATAAAGTGCATCGTATAAAAAAATTTACAATTTTGTTTAGCTGATCTAATCAATCAAAATTAGTCATGCCAACCAGCAAAAAATGGTGAAATTTAATTTTAACTGACTTTCAACCAAACCCCTCAACATGCCAAGGCAAGGCTATCCGACCTGACCAGCCCCAATGGCCAGTCAAGTCTTGAGAACGATGATCAATGCATTCATTCAACTAGATGATTTAATCAAGAAATGGCTTTTCTTTTAAGATCTTCTTGATAGTTATGTACTATCAACGCTTTGAACATGGGCACCACATTAATGCCGATGAGTAACATGAGTCTCTAAAACTAGATACATCAACGCCAAGATCCTAAGTTCTGGATCCTATATTTGTTTACTTTTTCGTTATACTTGATGCTGAAGTACGTCCATGTGGACCTGATAGAGAGCATAAATTTTGAAAATAGATAGAAATTACTAGCTATTTTGTTCCACAAAAATCTCAATGCCAGTGTTTCACTTAGCTTGACCCATTCATGCGGTAGGGACACGGTAATGAAAATGGGGTCAGTAAAGGGCCCATAGATTGTTCCCATTGTCACGTTTTCATCATTCTTTTGACTCTTCTTAGGGTAGAAATTAAATAAAAAAAATGATAATTAATTTACATAATGTATAGTTATATTTATATATTTTTTATAATTTTATAGCAGGTTATGTCAACCCCTTCCAGGACCCAACCCGACCCTACCTGATAGAATCCATGCTGGATGCGGACCTAACCTAGGTTGGGTCCAAGCATTTGGACCCGGAACATCCCTTGGCCCAAAACATAGACCCGGACTTAGACCTAGTTCGGGTCGTCCCGATTGCCACCCCTTGATCAATTTATTGTCTTGAACCCCAATAGTGCAAAGATGAAAGTAGGATGCCAATAATGATCATTTACTTGCAAACCAAAGCAATCTTGATAAAGCATAAGAAAAAAAGGATCATCAAATAAGGATGTATTTTATGAGGTGAGTCAAACAAAGAAATTTGTAGTGGAAAACACAAAGTAAGAATCTAGTTTTAGGAAACAAAAGTCAAGTAATATTTGAAATGAAGCACCTTACATTTAAATAGTTGGGTTTCTTATGGATTACCCCACTAATTTGCTCTCTCTTTCAAATTTCACTTAGGTGGGAATTGCTACGTAATTTTCTCCATTATTTTAAGTTTTTAACCTTTCCTAATTTGGCTGTGCCCGTGTCTATGATTCTATCCTGCGTATCCTTAATTTTCTCTTTGCCACCGACCCTCCTCTTGACTTAGAAGAAAAAACAAGTATGCGCAGTCGACTTTTTATGTTTTGCCTGATTCCACAAGGAAAATAATAGATATGAGTGGATCGCTTTGGAATGGTCAGCAAAAAAAAATAGTCAAAGTCTTCGGAAAATGCCCAGTCTTTGTTAAGCCATTTTATTACATGTGTGAATGAACTATTTTATTACATGTGTGAAATAACTGTATAATTTGAAAAAATATAAAAAATATCATTTATTTTTAATACAAGAAGGTCACAATCATTTTTATCTATTAGATTTCAAATTCAATGATTGGGAGCATGTCATAAGCTAAGCTAACTTAAACGTTAAAAAAAAAAACTTCTCGATCTTGGTGTCACACTCCAATCAATACAATTTGACATTTAAAGCCTAGCAGCAATTGTAACATCCTTGTAACAAAGATAAATGATCGCATAATATATAATTTCATATAATTTAATATATATCATTTTATTAGAGGTTTACTCTCTTCCCTGTTCATATACACATGGGAAGGAAATGAGACATATCGTCTAAACTGAATCACATTGGTGGTTTGGTCCCAAATAAAAAATAAATAAACAGTAAAAAAACGGATGAAAACCATTTTTTGACGGGCTAATTTTCACTGACGAGACAAAGTGGACAATTTCTTTTTAATGCATTACATCTATTTAAACAATTGCTCATATTTGTAATATTTTCAGAATTAAGACAAACCGGTTTTACTATCAATCGTATCGGTTTTAAAGAAACCCACCCAGGTTAGATCGGCATTGGGTTTTATCTTGATGACGTGCACCTATGACCACTGAGTTTCACCGGTTAGACAACATATAAGCAAGCCAAAATTTCTTTTAAAAAAGGCCAAAGTCGGGCGATAAAAGTGCCATTGTCAGGGAACAAAGGGGCTCGGAACATTTTCCTACCCTCAACTAACTGTACCCAAGCTACAATTATTGTTCCCCTCTCCCTTCCCCTTAAACGCCACCAGCCCGCTACTGAGACCACCTCGGCTTCTTTCACTCGCTTTCGACTTCAAACACAGGAAACCATGAAGTCCCACCTCAAGTCCGCTGCAACTCTCCTCCCCTTCTTCTTCCTTACCTCTTTCTATCACCTCTCTCTCTCTGCCTCCGATTCATTCGTCTATGGCGGTTGCTCTCAAATAAAATTCGACCCCACTTCTTCTTATCAATCCGATCTCAACTCCATCATGGCCTCTGCTGCAAATTCTGCTTCTTTCTCTGCATACAATAACTTCACCACCAACAAATCAGTCTACGGCCTCTACCAATGCCGGAACAACCTCCCCTTGTCCGAATGCTCGAATTGCATTCAGACTTCCATCAACCAACTTCGCGCCCTTTGCCCGAACTCATGCGGAGGAACCATTCAACTCCAGGAGTGCTTCCTGAAATACGACAACATAAGCTTTGTTGGGGTTCTCGATACGAGCCTCATATACAAGAGGTGCAGCCCTGAATTCAGTGCTGATAGTGGGTTCTATGAGAGAAGAGAAGAGGTTTTTCGTGAAATTCAACAAGTCGGTTCGAACGGGTTCAGTGTGGGCTCGAGTGGCACCATTCAGGGCATGGCTCAGTGCTCCGGGGACCTCGAGCCCAGTGATTGTAGCGCCTGCTTGATTCAGGCGGTGGGTCGCTTGAGGAGCCTGTGCGCGTCTTCGGTCTCGGGGGACATCTATTTGGGGAAGTGTTATGTGAGATATTCGTCAGATGGGTTTTACTCCTCTCCCCATGGTAAGAGCTAAACCGTGGCCATGTTTTCGTGTTCTTCTATTTTCCGTTATTTTTTGACAAAAAAAAAAATGATAACGCCTCAAGTACAGGCTCTGTAAATTCGATTCTGCGTGGTACGAAAAATGCGGGGACGTTTTCCTTTTCTTTCTTATTGTGTCTTTCCTCTGCCAAAAAGAATGAGGGGTACTGTGTCATACACCGGTCGTGTAAGGTAAATGGGACACCACAGGCTATAGGCCGTTTGCTTTTGACAAGGGAGGGTGAAGATTCTCTGTAGTTCTTTGAACTCCGGCAGTCAACGTGTTCCTGTAATATGGCTTTTACGTATCCGAAAATCTTCAAATCCATCACCTCGGTTTTTATCATTATATTTGTGAAATAAAATTAGGATTTAAGGTTTAAAAATTGTGTATATTACAAGATATCTACTTTAAAAATAGATATTCATTTATTTACAAGATTTATGGTAGTTTTTTAATTTTAAGTTTTATAATCAATGTAAAAAATTGATTTTACAGTCATCATGAAAATTTTAAAAAAACGATTTTAAAATCATCGTGAAAATTTCGACCCCCAAAGTGCTTTCCCAATAAGGACTTATGGTGTTGGGAACGTGTTAAGTGAGATATTAAGGAATTTTGAAAAAGTTGGGGGCAATTTGACACAGGGGGAAAGTCTCCATAAATGACGATTTCAATTTTAAAATCCTCAAATGATTATGAAATTCTCGATCTTTACGACCTTGTGTTTTTAAGTTTTTTGCATCCTTTAAGGCATATTCTCTTTTTGAACAGTTTTTTTGCACCATTCTCAGGAAGGGGGGGGGGGGCGATTTCACAAACTCACAACCGAGAAATGTCTCCAGAAACGATGATTTCATTTTAAAAATTTTGTGACCTATGCTTTCCTATCCTCAAATGAATATAAAATTCTCAATCTTTTCGACCTTCTATTTTTAAGTTTTGCAAACTTTCAGGCCCTTGAATCTCATGTTATTCTCCTTTTCAACAGATTTATGTACAGCTTTCTCGTTCCCCAAAAGAAAAGAATAGCCTTTTATGGAAAGATAGAGAGAGAGAGAGAGAAGCTAATTCTAATGTTAAAGTTACAAATGAAAATTTAGAGAGAGAAAGAGAAGCTAATTTTAATGTTGTCGGTGGAAAGGCCCTTTATTGTCCTTCGATTTTCCAAGAGATGCGTCAAAAGACTAGCGGCCAAAAGACGTTAGGAAACTTAGGATAATGTGAACAAATATTTTATAATTATTTTTCTAAATATTTTAGAATTAATTTTCTTTTTGTATTAACATGGAAACTTCGGCTTGCCTTTCGTGTTGTTTGCTTTTTTGCAGGCTCATCCAATGACGATGGGGCAGGTAAGACTCTGGCCATTATAATTGGATTATTGGCTGGGGTCGCCTTAATCATTGTCTTCCTTTCCTTCTTAAGACAGGTTTGCGGCAAAGGTCAGCCTCTCACTTTAAAATCTCTCTCTAGAATTTCGCCTCTCTAGGGTCGGCAACGAGCTGGGCGGCCCGGTTCTAAAAAAAGTAGGGCCGGTCCTGGCCCAGATCTGTCAAGCCGGTTTTTTTATTTTTTCCGGTCAATTATTCTCCACTTATTGCCTTGTTGTAGGATTCAAAGTTTTTAAGCATAATTAACCATTTTTTTTTGTTATGTAGGTGGGGGTAAATAGATAAAATGGAACCCATTCTCTTTGTGGTGAGGAGAATATGGTGAAATCCCACTATGGATCTGTAATTTACTCCACAATGTGTACTCTAGAGAGCGGGGGACTACTCCTTTTCTTCTTCTTTGCCCTTTATACCACCCCTTTTGCCTTTACCTTTCTTTTGGAAATTAGTTCCTTTTAGAGAAAAGGTGGCCGAAAGGAGAGGTTCTAAGGGCAGCAAGTGGAGGCAGGCACCAACTGAATGTAAAGTGGCTTTTGTAAAAAGAAGCACGACCAGCCCACTCTCACAAGCTTATTGTGTCTCTCTTATTATTCTAATTGAAATTCAATAACCTCCAAATTCTTGTTCTCACTTGATTTTTCTAGAAATGCTTCTTGTGAAGATATGATTAACCAATTAATAGACTCGTGCAATGCTCGGTCTATGCATTTAAGAGAGAGAGAGATAGGGGTCTGCCCTTGTGGTTCCTAACTTCGTATAAATCAAGGTGAATCGCTTCTTTAAATCTTGTTAAAGACATAGTTTTAGTGGCAAAAAACTCTTTATCTAAAAATCTACTTTTACTTCTAATTATACAAATTAAAGTTTTTTTTTTTTACGTTTTTTGGGTGATTCATTGGGGAGAGAGCTCCTACCCTTGATAAGAATTGAGCTTAGATCGTAGCGTTGTAAATCATCAAACTTTTCATATCCATACATATCAAATTTGAGATGATCACATATCAGGTTTTAAGACATCAGAAATTGATCGATAAAATGTGCCTGTGCTAAAAATTTGATACCTCGTATAGGGCGCGTACACTATGCATGCTATTCATTTATTCCCTTGGTCAATAGACTTGCTCTAGAGTGTTTTTTTTTTTTTTTTTAATTTGAAAATTTCAGTTCCGTCTAGGAATAATTAGATGATTATTTTTGAAGAAAAAATTTGGATCATGAGTACTTGTATATATAGATCTTTTCCTCTAAAAATTAGATGGTTCTTGTACAATCTTGGAATACCATTTTTTAGGAATACTAGAGTGAAATTATTATTATTTTTTCCCTTTAAGGTTGGTAGTTGAGTTTTACAAATGGGAAAAGTTTATATAGAGCCGAGGCTCTAAACAATCAAATTTGATCCTACCTCAAAACTTTCACTAGAAGAGGTTGTTTTGATGCTCAAATATCTTCAAATTGATCATCTACACATCAAGATGCATGGATACGAGAAAAAAATGTATTTCAAGTTTTGAAAGTAGTGTATTTTTTGTAACGCATTTTTGGACTGTCAATTTTCAAGATTTTCAAGACTATTTTTGAAGCTTTAAACTTTATAAATAAATATGAAAATATAATTTAAGGCAATCACAAAGATTTCCAATATTGAAACCACATTTCTCAACACTATTTGAAGGTAGGCTCTAATTTGATTGTTTAGAGCCTAGGCTCTATACAAACCGCAACTTTTACATATTACCTCCCTAAAATTTTGAGAAAAAAAAAAAAAGTATTGAGCATGGGTTTGACCCGAGGAAGTATATTAACAATATATTCCTATGGGAGTAGGAAATATTTTGGCCTTTGTATAAATTTATTTCATCACAAGTCTAATAGTTCACACTTACAAGCACAACTCGCGTGGGGAAGGGAGAGACTATAGCGCTCATTGACTCATAGAGAGAGAGAGGGCACTAATTCCATAGAGAGAGATAGAGAGAGGGCACTCTTAATTCTATAGGGTAGGTGACCTAATCGTAGAGACGTGCGACACACGCCACCCAACAAGATGGGGGCATTTAACATGGTCAGTCATTTTAGAAAAAGACTCAAGGTAACGGCAAAGATTCTAAGTTTGGACAATGAAATGTCATTTGCTATTCAATATCTGAAAACAGTGTGCTTCTAATTTTAATAACGCCATAACTACCATTAAAAAAAGGTGATTTGTCAATAAATTGCTATTAGTTGGCTTGACACCTCATCGTTATCCACAATTGAAAGCAAAACTTCAACGGAAGTGTTATGATAAGTCCATCATCAACTATGGGCTTCCTACTGCATAAATTAATTGGTGAGGTTTGGTGCCCACTTTATACTATACAAGTCTAAATTTTATTGGAAGATGTAGTCTTGATGTAATAAATCTTAAATTTTGTCCGAACATGTAGTCCTGATGTAAGAAATCTTATAATTACTTGAAAGTCTATGTCCAACCTAATTATGAAATTTAAAAATCTAAAAAATAATGTAGAGGAAGTAAATCTATAAATATTTGAAGATATCGTAAATAGAACTTGAAATTCTTTTTTATATAGATTTTTCCCTAATTTTAAGTGCCACACTTGTGTTTTAAAAGTGGGCTTGAACCTTGCAATAAAAGAGTAGTCTTCCGGCGATTGCCATTACATCTTTGGTCTCCTGTAGCCTAACATGCAAAAGATTTATGGCCTCCATGTTGACATTTCAAAGCTGCTTTTCTTGGCAGGTGCATTTCAAATCACCTCATATCTTTTCTTTTTTCTTTTTTTTTTTTAAAAGAGCACAAAAGTTTAGTAATCACAAATGAAAACATCAATAATGCAATGATAAAGAAGAAACAACCATCAGCCAACACTCCATATTTAGCCAAAGAATTTGGCCTAAAATCACCTCCTATCAAAAGAACCTAAATTTTGCACTCTTAAATAGGGGTTGTATGTAGCGAAAGTGACCCATCAGCAATGTGTTAGGTGTTTGTATCACACATATAAGATGGATACGCGTCTATGGTTTTTTTAATGTGTCAATGCACTAAGGACCGTAGTTACCGAGAGCAAAAGCGGGGAACGGCTCCGATTCTGGGAGCGGAAGCATCGGAGCGACATCTGCCCAAAGCTCCGGAGCTCGAGGAGTGAGTTTCGGTGAGGGTAAAAGTAGCGGATCGAGATCCTGTACGAACAAAGAGCGCATTTTTAATGCATCGGGATCGAGATCCCTATTTAACGGGATCGCTTTTCATGTCAAATGGGATCGTGTTCCCATATTCATTAGGATCGTGCTCCCATCAAGAACAGGATCGCACCCCCATCTAAGAACGACCGCATTCTTATTTGGAAAGAATCAAGCTCCATTCAAAGAAGGATCGCGTTCTGTGCATGATTAGTCCACGTTCCCATCGCAGAACTCCACTTTTGTGAAAATTTGGCTTAAAATAAAAATATTTTATTTTAAAAATTAATTTTATTTAAGAAGCTTCTTTTAGGATGTTTTGGGGAAATAGGGATGGAGTTCCGGATATGTGGGGATCGCACTCCTAAAATTATGGGAAGTGGAGATCTAATTTATTCAGGAACGAGATCCTAAAATTTAATGAACGTGTTCCGTACAGTGTCGGGAGCGAGCTCCGTTGTGAATAAAATCGAGAATCCTAAAAATTACAGTGAGATCCCAAAAAGATGGGAACGGATTCCAGGCAAGATCCGGAGCTAGAGCGCCACCAGTAACTATGCTAAGGACAAGGCAATTGTGTTTTACACTTCAAAAATTTAAAATCTTTTTTAATAAAGTACTTAAGATTATATTAAATAACACCCTTACCATTCTTAAATACATAGATATGTATTATTTGAGAGGCCAATTTTAAGGTTAGCACTTTGAACCTTGTATCTGTATTAAATAACGCAATACCCATGTACATATAATATAAAAGGTGTGATTTGTATAAGGCCAAGGCCGTAAACAACCAAAGTAAAGCGCACTTTGAAATAGTATTGAAAGATATTATTTCAATACTAAAAATCTTTGTGATGACCTAAAAACTTATTTTTACCTCTAATAATAAAATTTAAAGCTTAAAAAATAATGTATATCGAGTAAATCTATAAACGCTTGATAATCTTAAAAATTGACTTTCCAAAAATGCATTACAAGATGCACTATTTTCAATATTTGAAATCTATTTCTTCTTATGTCCATACATCTTGAGGTTGAGATAATCGATTTGAAGATTTTTAAACATCGAACAAGCTCTTCAAAAAAAAATTTGGTGTGCGCCTTAATTTAATTATTTGCAGCGTCACCCTTATATAAACGTTTTTCTAATATAAATTACTGAAGAGGGCAGGAAAACATCACGAAGTAGTATTTAAAAAGTTAGGTAGCTAATTTTGGGGTTTCCCCTCAAAAAAGTCCAATTCAGGAGAGGACAATTCAATTGGTAGCCCATCATGGCAAGAGACTCTACCCACCCCATGTGGCATGGGACAATCTGTGATGAAGCAGGCAAAGGCAGTTTGAAAGGTGAAACATCTGAATCACATCAAACACTATTTGATTCCACCCATGGTGGAAAGAAATTTAAATTATTCTAAATTTAACATATTTGATCAAGTGAGTTTTGTAGAACAAAAAAAAAATGTATTCAAAGGATAATTATTCTAAAATTATCCTTTGAATACCCTTTTTCTTTCTACAAAACATATATCATAAAACTACCTCAAACATTAAAAAACTTGCATAGAAACCATGCCTTTCGACAATACGAGATCTATTGAGAAAACGTATATATAATAACATATATAGTTTACTCCTCAGCAATGAGCATTAAGCACGGCTCAGGCCTTGGACTTGGCCTAGCCCGAGTTCAGTAACTTCGCCAAGTTTGACTAGACTCGGTGTACAGGACACAAAAAAGTACAAAATTTGAAAAAATGTTAAAACTCTGTTAAAAATAGCTAAAATTAGCAATAGTAAAATAATTAGTGGAAATCGTTAGAAGTTTATAGAAGTTCAAAAAAGTATATAAAACATGGATTATAAGAAAATTTGATTTATACCTTGAATATTTCATAAAAATCAAAAATAAGAAAAAAAAAATTGGAGTATTTAATGAGGCAACTTCCCAAATCGACATAAAAACCATATAAATTGTATAGAAATTTATTTCTAAATTATATATTGAAAATGCTTTTATCAAAATCTATGAGTCTTTAATAACTTTTAATGGGAGCGTGTTGGGCCTTGAAACTCACCTTGGTGTATATATATATATATATATATAGAGAGAGAGAGAGAGAGAGAGGA